TCTCTCTTCATTTGTTTGCGAGAGACGTTGCTTTCGTCCTAGACCTTAAACTCGGAGACCTTGCTTTCTGTGTTTCTTCGTGCAGGAGTTTGGTGGTTGAGGGTAAGCTGTGGTGTCTTGCTATAGACTAGACAGACTAGAGAGTTGATACAGAGAATGAAGCTCGCTTTGCTCACTAGCTAGGCTGCTAGGCTTATCAGGGTAGAGATTCGAAACCCCTGGCCCTAAACCCGCCCTTCCGCTACCAAGGATCGACGCAGGTTGCACGGGTGCGAGTATCTCCGGCTTCCTGGCCTGATGTCATCCGAGAGTCTTATCGAGGTTGATTAGTTAGCCTCCGCCCGAAAAGCCCTGTCTGGGTCCTAGGTACTGTTCTGGGATACCTTCCCAAGTCATACTAGCGATTCCCATTATGGAAACCCTTCATATTCCAAAGCCCACACGGCAACGGTTACTAGTAGTACAACTACTACCAGGACTGTTCAAATTATCAAGGCCCAAACATGTATTATGAAAGCGTGTTGGGGCTTTAGACTTCAGCCCCCCTAAAGCCATGGTAGTTCTCTAAATTAGGTTCCCTNNGGCACCCTCATTAAAAGGACCCTAAAACGGACCCTAATCTTTCGAACGAAGTTTTCGCTTCAACTCGCAGAGGGTTTGGGGCTCAGGCATCAAGCCATAAACCCGGAGCCTGAACCCTCGACCCGGTAATGTGGTGGAACCGATATGGGTAGTTCTCTAAATTAGGGTCCCTTCTAGGGTCCTTTTTATAAGGGTGCAGTACTATCTTGGGGACCTAAGCCTACAGAGGACCCTTACTTAGACAACTACCCATACGGAGGAAATTTCATCTTGAATGCTGACTTGAACGGCTATCCGGTGTACAACTATCCGCAGGAGGCCTGCTGCCAGGGTTTTGGGGTGTCCAGAAGTGTTTTACAAAGGGTTCCAAAAGTGTCTGGGCGTTTAGAGTTCGTACGGTTTGGGGATGAGCTTTTTCCATGAATTTCAGAGCAGATTTTCCGATCTCTATAATGCAGTACCAAACACGTTATGTGAAGGCTCCGTTGCCGAAGACGTATGAGATCCTTGCTATTACAAGGACCCGCCCAAAGGAAGGGGCCCTGATTTCACCGCCCCACAAGACGCTGATGAAGCCATATCGGCACGCCATAGGACCCTTATACAGTTACAACCTAAGCCCAAAACTCAAGAACCCAGAACTTTAAACCCAAGAAACTAGAACCCTGAACCCCAGAACACAGAACCCTAAAGCCAACAAAACCCTGTAAGAACACTCATATTACGGAGACCCCTAAAAGGTGACTTTTCTGCACCCTATAGCTACTTTTGGCTCTCTTAAAAAGGACCTTATTCAGAGGGTGTAAAGCCCCAAGGGTCCCCCAAATCCCAACTCCCACTAAGGCCTAAATCCTGTAAACAACGCTCTAAGGACCCTAAACCCTAAACTCTAAGGACCCCAAACCCTAAACCCTAAACCCTCAACTCTAAACCCTAAACCCTGTAAGAAGCTTCTAAGGACCCCAAACCCCAAACCCTAAACCCCAAACCCTCAACTTTAAACCCTAAACCCTGTAAGACGCCTCTAAGAAGCCTGGCCTCATAGTAGTTCCCTTTTGGGGGTCATTTTTAGAATCCTATAAGGTAATCCCAAAAAAGAACTATTATGGGGCCTATGGGTAAGAAGCCTGTAAAAAACCCCTAAGGACTCTAAACCCTAAATCCCAAACCCTAAACCCAAAACCCGAAACCCTAAACCCCAAACCCCAAACCCTAAACCCTAAACCCTGTAAGAAGCCTCTAAGAAGCCTGGCCTCATAGTAGTTGCTTTTTTGGGGTTCATTTTTAGAATCCTATAAGGTAATCCCAAAAAAGAACTACTATGGGGCCTATGGGTAAGAAGCCTGGCCACAGTCGGTCTACGCCGCTTCCACGGGGCTCGAGACGGCGACCTTTGCCTACGAATCTGAGCTCGAGCGATGGGCAACTTGTCTCTGAGGACCCGCGTTTCCCCTACTTATCACTTTTTTTTAATAGGGTTTCGGGTTTAGGATTTAGGGTTTCCGGTTTAGGGTTACGGGTTGAGAGTTTCGGGTTTCGGGTTTTTAGGGTTTCGGGGTTTTAGCGTTTGGGGTTTCGGGCTCCCTACTTCTCTTGTTTGTAACGTTGTCTACTAAAGGGCTGAAAGGCTTAAGGGTGAACGGTTTTGGGCAACTTGCCCATCCCCTAAACCCTAAACCCTAAACCCTAAACCCTAGGATGTTGGAAACTTATAGAATTATGGACTTCGTGGTGCTTAAGTTTCTGGGGTTGCGGCCACCCTAAACCCTAAAGCCCTAAACCCTAAACCCTAGGCCCTAAATGTGGCCTTCATAGAGTTTCCGACTTGGCAGTTATATAAGTCCGCTGCTCCCTGGGTTATAGGGCTTTGGGTTGGGGGTTCAGGGGTTTTTAGGGCCGAGGGTTTCAGGGCTTAGGGTTTAGGGTTTGGGGTTTAGGGGGTTTATCGGGCTCAGGGCTTTGGGGCTTAGGGTATAGGATTTGGGGTTTAGGGTTTAGGGTTTAGGGTTTAGGGTTTAGGGTTTAGGGTTTTTAGTGTTTTGGGATGAAGTCGCAGGACTTTCTCCTTTCGCGTCTGGATGACATAAGGGCTTGAAGATTTTCGAAACATGGGCCACACACTGACCACTGGGTCAAATACCTTGCCCTGTAAACCTGAAACCGTAAGCCTTCAAAACCCTAAACCCTAAACCCTAAACCCGAATGCATGCTTGAAAGGTGCAGCGGGATGCCACAACCTCTGAACTCTCCCATGCAGCAGTCTGGTTCGGGGTTCCCCTGACCATGCTCTCAACATGTCCTTGGGGTTTGGGGATCATCGATTTTAGGGAGTAGGATTCTAGAATTTTGCAGTCTGGTTCTGGGTTCCCTGACCATGATATCAACATGGGAGTTTCCGAAAATAAGGGGTACCTTATTTGGGGTCCTTATAATAAGGATCCTACTATTTAGGGTACTATATTAGGGTCCCTTATTTTCGGAAACCCCCACATGTCCCTGATTGGGGTTTTGGGATCATCGAGCTTTTGGATTGGGGTTTAGATTTTGGGGAATTTGGCCGTTGACTAAGACGCTGTCCACCACCAACGGGAATATCTCTTACGCCTACACGGCCTCTACGCTCCCGGAAGCAGCCAGCGCCTCAAAACTGGGGTGGGGTGGGAGGGGGGGGGTGGCTTCGGGGACCAAATAAGTAAACTATTTTAGCCTACCGCCTCGCACAGATTTCTAGCTGAAAGGCTTATTGTTACGTGCCTGTGTGGCTCCCCCTCGAAGTTTGAAGCGGTCATATCGATTCATTCTGTCGGGTGTTCCCTAGAGTTTTCATTTGGGTTGAAACAGACAGTCCTAAGGATCATCTTGTCATCTCAAAAGTTAAGGGCCTTTGCACCGAAACCCTTAAACCCCCTCACAAAGCTCCGCTTGAAGGGAAAGAAGCCCGGGTCACATAAGGGAGCATGATGTTCGGCTTTAGGGCTGAGGGTCGAGTGTTGGCAGCTCCAGGTTTGAGGTATAAGGTTTTATTGGTTTACTTAGTTCCCCAGGACCCAACCTTTAAACTTTTTGGATCCTTATAAATTAGTAGTAGTCCGAAGGTTAACCTTTTTTTCCCCTGGCTTGTTGGGGATAAGTACGGGGTTAGCATCGAGGGTTTATGATTAGTTGGGATACTTTATATAGGGAGTATGAGCCTAAACCCTAAACCCTAAACCCTAAACCCTAAACCCAGTAAGGAGCAAGCAATCTGGAGCTGAGTGTTGATGGGGATCGTCGGGCCGGGGCTCTCCGCGAGCAACTTTTAATTTCAAAGTATACAGAAAGTGCTGAAAACTGCCTCCAACCCCTACTATAAGCTCTAAACGTAAACTGTCAAGTGTTGGATGTAGGGTTGGGGTAGCTTGCATTTCGAGTAGAATCTACTGAAGAAATTATTTGACCTCTGTTTGAGGCCAAAAATATATGTATGCAGGAGGTATGTATGTATGTATGTATGTATGTATGTATGTATGTATGTATGTATATAGACATACGTGTACGCCATGGGCACAAGGACCCTTCGGGTTCTTCAAAGAAGGGATCTCCGCTTTCGCAGCTCAGAGGCTCGAGCCGGGGGTCTTAGGTGCTTGGCCTAGGGCCCCGGCGTTTTTTCCCGAGCTATGGGCTTCGAGCCCCACCTTCCGACAGACGGAAAGCAAAGCCCCAAGCCCTAATTGGAGTATCATGGGGACTTAGTGAGTAAGAGTAGGAAAGAGGTGCCGGAATTGGGTTTATGAGTGATTAGAAGCACACCGTCGCTGCAGCATCATGTAGAGCCCTAAGTCCCATGATCCTTTAAGTAACTTCGCACCCTTTTCCCTTGTAGCCGGAGCTGGGTGCTCCCATACCGAAGCTTAAGAATCGAACAGCTTGGAAGGTCGCAGTTGATCAGAGGTTTAGGGTTTTAGGGTTTTAGGGTTTAGGGTTTAGGGTTTTAAGGTTTAGGCTTTAGGGTTTAGGGCTTGGGGTTTTAGGGTTCAGGCTGGCTTGGGGCTGTTGACATTGCATGCATGTGGTGCTGGTTCTGGTGACTACTGTATGGTTGTTGTGTTGCTGGTTACTGCCTCAAGAGCCCTATGTCCCCTGAGCTCTAAGCTCTAAATCCCGAAGCCCCCTCTCCCGCCACACGATACCCTCATTCGACACCACAGGGATGCAAAAACCCGGCAACAATCCCTGGACGCACAGCGACCTCCGCGGCAAGGTTGCTGTACCTGTAAAACCTTATCTAGTTAACCCAAAGGGTCCCATGTACTGTCATGGGGGATACTTCCCTAAATCATAAGAATTCCTAATCTAGGAACCTTTCCCTTCTACTATATAGGTACATAGGACCCTTTGGGTAAGACCAGCACAAGTAGAGTAGCCGGTTTCCTGCGGCCATGCTGGCGCTCGTTTTGGCCACAATCCTACACTTGAAGCTTCTGGGCATCATTGAGCAGTTTCAGTCGGCAGGAGGCTGAAGGCATTTCCATAAGGATCATCACAAAGCAATTCGGGATAATTATAGGGTCAAGTAGTGTCTGTCGGATCCTGAGGCCTAGACGAAGCTCACGATGAAGTGTGTGTTGTTCTTTCTCTTTTGGGATGGGGGAGGGGGCGGGGGTCTTGGGCTGCCCTATGAACCCTAAACCTCTCAGCCCCTAAACCCTTATAACCTCTAAGCCCTAAACCCAAAGGGCTGAGGCTGTAAGGGATTATACAGTATTGGCGTTCTGGCCACTGCGGCCGTGAGCTTCAAGCTCTTGCCCTAAACCGTGATCTAACTTAATATGCCTTAGCTAAACTTAGCGTGCCGGGTTTAGGGTTACGAAATGACTTGGAATGGTATTCCTTGCGGCTTTTCATGATAACCGTACGGCACTGAGCTCCCTCCGCGCTGTACTAGCGGCATGAAACAAACACCAAAGTGTCCTCAGTTTCTGTTTTCAACTAAACTTCTAAATTTCCATACGGACCTCAAAAACCTTTGTGAAGACCCCAGAGAGCCCAAGAAAACCGTCCAAGGTCTGTAGGGCCCTCAGGAAGCCCTTGTAGAACCCATATCAAAGTCAATGAATATGGCGTTGCTTTCCTTCGGTCATCACACTCCGCCACCGAGGAACTGCTTCTTCGGCAAGGTGTTGGACTTACGGTTTAGGATTTGGGGGTTCAGGGTTTGGGAGAGTTTTAGAGCCTTCGAAATCTTTCGCGTCATGGAGACTTCTACATGCCCCCTAAACCCTAAACCCTAAACCCTAAGCCCTAAAACCAGCCCTTATTCTCACATAAGAAGACAGTATTGAGGACGTTGGTTTCGGTCATGTTAGCGGAGCGGAGGAACGACCGAGATCCGATCATCTGGCCTCAACCAGCAGCGGCATTACCTCCGGCCTAGAGGGTTCGGGATCAAGCCGTGAAAAAACATTCAACCAGAAAAACAGAGTTAGTTCCATGCACTCCATGCATGAACCCGGTGCCCTCCGGCAGCTACTCCCTGCGCGAACCGGGATTCATCCCGACTGTAGCCATCCGCCTCCAGCCGCATGAAGACCCACACCAGGCAGGCGCTGTCGACCCACAGAACCCCCTTCCCCCACGCTTGATTGCCAGAAAAAGCCCTAAACCCCCAGATCTCCATGCGGGCCCAGAGGAAAGTCATTTTAGTTAAGTTCTATCTCTCCCATGTCCTGCCCGACCGAAACCTTAAAGTCCGCCCTTTAGGCCCTAAGCCGAGAAAAATCTGCCATGCTGCAATGTCTCGCCCCACCAAAACCCCAGCCATAAGGAATAGAAGTCTTATTGAACCCACAAGCCCTAAACCCTACAATGTCATGCTAGACAGTAACCCTGTTTGGACCATGCACAGTAGCTGAGCTTCCAGGGCGAGACTATAACAATCTTGACAGGATCTGCCGGAGCTTCGTCAAGGGGCAGCCCCCTTGGTGAACACATCGCAAGGCCAGGGGGTCCAGGGTTGAGGGATTTATGGTTGGGGATACCCTAAACCGTATTAAATAAACTGCTCGTGGTTCTGATTAGTCGTGTCGCGTCTCTTTCTGTATTGGGGAAACTACGTGGGGATCGAAGGACAACCGAGGATCCAAAACAGCAGCCTTTACATGCCGTAAATGACAACCTACCTGTAGTCTCGATTGTAGTTCCTTTTTGGGGATACCTAATAGAAATCCTTAATACATAATTGGTTAAACCAAAAAAAGGAACTACAATGGAGACTATAGGTACATACTTTTGTAAGCGAGCTAGAAGACCCCTGAAGAGCCGCTGAGAGCCTTAATTTCTGCCTCGAATTCACGGGATCACTGACCCCAAAGTGCTGTGAACCAGTGCCTTCGAGGCCTTCTCCGTGGCAGGCGTGTGGAAGATGGCGAGGCCTGCAGTTGACGTCCCTCTTTCTGAGGGTAGGGCGTTTTGCGCTTCGAATTTCGAGGGATTCTACGGGTTGGCTTGGTTTGTAGGGGCTGTTACAAGTAGAGGTTAGGTTCAGGGCTTCTGGGTTTGAGATTTGGGGCGTAGGACTTCGAACATCTTGCCTGAGTGCGTTGCGAGTACGCGGTGAAGTGCTTCAGCGCTCATGGCTGAGTCGGTTTAAGAGAGGTAGCTGGAGGTATTTACCAGGACCCTCTTTGTACCCTCAAACAGGGATATATGGCCCCAAATATATTGGATGTTCAGGGTCTAATGGAGGGCAGATGGAGTGTCTAGGATGGTCTGGGTAGGGTTGAGTCATTGAGGGTTGTGGGTTTCACTAGGGTTCCTTCTGGGTGTAATGAATTTCGGATTTCGAGGGTTCCATTACCAAGGCCCTTACAATACGGTTACCCTAAACGTAAACCCTATCGAGCTTCCGGAATTCACGTCCAGGGCAGTGCAACCCCATATGCTAGACCCAGCTGTAGGATCGATAAGGCTTTCGGTTCAGGAGTATCCCGAGATCCGCTTTCCGAACCCTGTAAAACCCTTACGGGGAACCCGACAAAGTCTAAACCCTGAAGCCAAAAAGCCGGTAGGCTCTAGCTCTAACGACACCCTAGACCCTAAACCCTAAACCACACTCTAGAACCCGAAAGGCCGAAGTCCTCAATCCTAAACTCTAATTAACCCTAAGGCCTGAAGCCCTAAGGCCCTAAACCCTTAACCTTAAAGCCCTAAAGCCCTAAAGTCCTAAAGCCCTAAAACTAAAACCCTAAACCCTAAAACCCAAAAACCCTAAACCCTAAGACCCTCAAACTTAAATTCTAAGTCCTCGAGCTCTTTTTGGGGTTACCGCAAAACCTACTCCAGGAGTTCCTGGGCATCCGCTATGCAACGCGCCCTGCGGCTAGGCTAAAGTTTAGGGTTAGGGGTTTAGGGTTTGGGGTTTCGAGTTTGGGGTTTGGGGTTTAGGGTTTGGGGTTTAGGGTTTGGGGTTTAGGGTTTAGGGTTTGGGGTTTAGATGGTGCCCAAAGACCCCAAATGGCCCAAAGTAGGTAGGATTTATAGACTTTAGATCCCAAAGTAGGTATGATTCGTATACCTGGAGTCGTAGCGGTGTGAGGCCGTAGGAAGTATTAGGGCTTTAGAGCTTTCGGGGTTCATGGCTATTTAGGTGCTTTTTCCACAGAAGCACACTGTGGAAGTCATAGGGTTCGGGGTGTGTAGGGTATAGGTTTAGGGGATTTGGGGTGTTTTACGGCTTGGGCTTTCTTTGGGAGTTCGGGGTTGAAAGGGTGCGGCCCTAAGGATTCTTCGGGGTGACTGTTTTAAGATTTGTAGAGTGTTGGCGGTGATAGGCTTGGATTCCGGCCGTCCTGCACCAAGATGCTCTAGCCCTTCCGCAGATTCCCGGATTAGTTCGGGCGTCGGGGTTTGGAACCCAGAACCAAGGCGGTAGCAAGCGAAACCTATTCTGGATGTATCCCAGGCACGGTTTGAGCTCTCGGAGCTGTCAACCGCCCGGTGGGAGGGCATCTACGAGGCTCATTGGACTGGTTTATGATCAGAGATATCGGGATTTCAACTTCCACGGGCTAACAGCGCGCCTCTCATACACCCGAGATATCAAAGTCTTATCCGTAGTAGTAGCAGCAGTAGTAGTA